GTGTTTTGGAGTTTGCATGTGTTTTGTATTTTGTATGTGTTGAGGAGTTTGTACGTGCTATTTGGAATTTGTAAGTGTTTTGGAGTTTATACATGCTTTGTCTCTAGGGGCCACCGTACAGATTAATCCATTGTTAGTGTCCTTTCCTATCATTCAGGAGGAGTTCTCATCACTTGATTTGCCAAACATGATTTGGGGTTGGTTGTTTGCCATCGGCGTCCTCGGTATTTCCTCTCTGGGAATCTTTGCTACGTGCTGTGAGTCAATCATCGGCCTCAAACTAGTATGTACAACTCCACATCAAACAAGATAACAAGCTGATGCTGTGTTAATTTTATAGTTATTAGAACAATAACTGTGGATGCTCTTTGTATTGTTTTGTTTGTACAGTTTGCAAGCTTCATGGGGATTGGAATGATCATCATGTTTTATGGTGGCATCAATGTAGCGACAGGAAGAAATGAGGTCATCTTGTCTTTTCTTTCTTAATTCTGCTGTGTTCTCCATTGCTGTCTGATCAGCTACATTTAGTATTTCCATCTGTTATCTTGCTGCTAGACTTAATTTTTATGTTTTGGAGATAAATCACCTTCATTGTCTTTCTGCAGTATGCTTTTTATATCTCAGTCTTAATAACTCACAATAACCAACACACTACCAAGTGATCAGTTTACTCAACCGTCCTAGTTGGCCATGACCATGGGACTTAAGAGGTACTTTAAAAAGAAAGCAAGTAGCATTTCAGAGAATGAGGATTCAGTCAAAATATTTCAGGAAGATACAAATAAAATCAGAAAGTGTAACTGCTGTAAGAGGAACCATTGAAGGGCCTCTTGGTTATGAGTGGACATATTATTGCTTAAGCGTCTGCTGTCTCATAATCCATAACATTATTATTGCTTCATCTTTCCCTCTGCTTTCTCTGTGCTTTTTGGTCTGCTGTGTCTGTCTGTCTTGAGGAGAATATATTCTTCATTTCTCTACCATTATACTAAAATCTTATTTTCTTTTCCAGATAGAGACTGCCCTCCAGAATGAACTACAAAAGGCCAACATAAGAGAAGAAGTCATTAGAAGTATGGTTGAGAAGATACAGTCAAATGTAATATTTTTTGCACTATTTACCCCAATAATAGTAGTCTTTCTACTGGCCCTAGTGGATTTTGTTGCAACTGTGCTTTTACAAGTAGTCAACACAGAACTTGTAAGTTACCTAAACATAACAGTAGCACTGGAAGGGCCCAGAGGTGAACAAGGACCAACCTTAAAGGGGAGATCAGCCAAGATTGGAGTCAAAAAACATTTTGATTGCACCATATATTGACTGAATTGTTTTGCAATGATATTTACATTACAGTCACTATATTGATAAAAAACAGAATAGTGGAGAATTTTGTTGAGTATTTCCTGTTGTTTAAAGTCAATCTCTTGTTTGTTAACAGTTTCATTGCTGTGGAATTATGAACGCCACAGACTGGGGTAATAATATCCCTGACTCCTGTGAATGCATTTCTTCAAATACTGGATATGGAATGAATGGAAGATCCAAGTCACTTAGATGCAAATCCAAGCCTCAGGTTGGTTTTACAGAATAGAACTATAATGTCAAGCTGAAAAGCAAATTGTTCATAAAACAATTTCATGACTAAATGTGTTGTGATTTTGGGTGTTTTTATATGTCAAATGATCATTAAAGCTATCATTGTCGCTGCTAATTTATTTTACCTTTTTTTCTTTCTTTCTTTCCTCCCTCCCTCTTTCTTGCTCACATTCCATTCATATTTTTTTCTCTCCCCCCACAGTAATTGATAAAATCCAAAAAGAACAGTTAACCTAGTTGTCTCTGAACTCATGTGTCATTAGGCTCTTAACATTGTGTACGCAATGCCTTTATGTGTTTCAGTGTTAACATTTTTTTTGTTTATTTCTTTATCTGTGCGTTTTGTTTAATTTTCTTTCCTTCCTCCTCCCATTGTCACATCTGTTTTATTTGGGAAGATTGCACACAACAGCAATATTAAGCAGTTCCAAATTATACAACCAATCCAGTGACCACATTCAAATTCATCAGCAGTTTTCAAGACTCCTATCAAAAACAATAAAAGATTACTTAAATTAATGGTTGACAATACAGCTATCAGTTATAGGACGTATTAACACCATAAAGTTGATGATATTACCTAAACTCAACTATTTATTCACAATGATCCCTATTTAACCCGCAGAAGCTTTTTTTTCACTATTCTGGACACAATAATAACTTCATTCTACTGGAAAAACAAAAACTCCAGAATAAAACTAAAAATATTACAAAAGTCCAAGGAGTCCTAGAAGCACCAAATTTCAACTACTACTTCTTAGATAACCAACTACAATACCTTATCAAATGGATGCATTCAACCCATCACCTTCATCCAGGTCTAGACAATCTGATTATAAAGATCGATTAATCAAAGATTTACCATTTATCAGAAATACAATCACACATCACAACGGCTTAAAACCACTGCAACAGCAAACACTGTCAGCTTGCTGGAAGATTAATAAAATAAAAAACACTATATCCTCACCTACAACTCAAACACCCATATGGAATAGCCCTTACATCACTGCAAATAAATTACCCTGATAGGCATTAAATGGAAAGAAAAAGGCATCACACACCTCCGCCACATATTTTATCAGAATAACTTCTTAACATTTCAACAGTTCATTGACATATACAGGATTGACAGAAAATTATTTCGTCAACATAACCAACAAAAACACTCCATCAAAGCAAAATAAGTATCAATAACACTAACGTAGGACAACCATCACTAATAAACAGCATCAATAAAATTGCAAAGTCACAAAAATCACCGTTAAAACCAAATAAACTACTATCCTCTAATGATAATGCACCTCACGCTCAAATTAACAAATGGGAAAAAGACTCCATCATCCAGACAGATAATCAGTTTTGGAGTAGAGTCTGCAATAAAATTTTTACCATGTCTAACAACACCAACATACAAGTAATACAATATAAAATCATACTTCACTAGCTAGGCCCACGTCTTTATTTTAGATTTGACAGCATTTTAGTAGATACAGGGAGTGCAGAATTATTAGGCAAGTTGTATTTTTGAGGAATAATTTTATTATTGAAAAACAAACATGTTCTCAATGAACCCAAAAAACTCATTAATATCAAAGCTGAATGTTTTTGGAAGTAGTTTTTAGTTTGTACACGTAGGGGGATATCTGTGTGTGCAGGTGACTATTACTGTGCATAATTATTAGGCAACTTAACAAAAAACAAATATATACCCATTTCAATTATTTATTTTTTACCAGTGACACCAATATAACATCTCCACATTCACAAATATACATTTCTGACATTCAAAAACAAAACAAAAACAAATCAGCAAGCAATATAGCCACCTTTCTTTGCAAGGACACTCAAAAGCCTGCCATCCATGGATTCTGTCAGTGTTTTGATATGTTCACCATCAACATTGCGTGCAGCAGCAACCACAGCCTCCCAGACACTGTTCAGAGAGGTGTACTGTTTTCCCTCCTTGTAAATCTCACATTTGATGATGGACCACAGGTTGTCAATGGGGTTCAGATCAGGTGAACAAGGTGGCCATGTCATTAGTTTTTCTTCTTTTATACCCTTTCTTGCCAGCCACGCTGTGGAGTACTTGGACGCGTGTGATGGAGCATTGTCCTGCATGAAAATCATGTTTTTCTTGAAGGATGCAGACTTCTTCCTGTACCACTGCTTGAAGAAGGTGTCTTCCAGAAACTGGCAGTAGGACTGGGAGTTGAGCTTGACTCCATCCTCAACCCGAAAAGGCCCCACAAGCTCATCTTTGATGATACCAGCCCAAACCAGTACTCCACCTCCACCTTGCTGGCATCTGAGTCAGACTGGAGCTCTCTGCCCTTTACCAATCCAGCCACGGGCCCATCCATCTGGCCCATCAAGACTCACTCTCATTTCATCAGTCCATAAAACCTTGGAAAAATCAGTCTTGAGATATTTCTTGGCCCAGTCTTGACGTTTCAGCTTGTGTGTCTTGTTCAGTGGTGCATCCCTCTGCAAGATATCTCACTATTTTTGACTTTTCTGAGCCTGTCAAGTCCTTCTTTTGACCCATTTTGCCAAAGGAAAGGATGTTGCCTAATAATTATGCACACCTGATATAGGGTGTTGATGTCATTAGACCACACCCCTTCTCATTACAGTGATGCACATCACCTAATATGCTTAATTGGTAGTAGGCTTTCGAGCCTATACAGCTTGGAGTAAGACAACATGCATGAAGAGGATGATGTGGACAAAATACTCATTTGCATAATAATTCTGCACTCCCTGTATAGGTAAATGGCTTGGATGTGAATTCAGCTGCGGTTTGGGGAATTCCTCGAACGGGACTGGTCGTGGTTCCCGGGCCTAGCAGATCCCCATGTACTAAACAGAAGTGAAGGAGTTAAAGAAGAGGGAGGGTAGGGCACGTAAACGAGAATGAACAGCTTGTAGAACTGGGGGAACATATATAGATGAGAACCGGAAGGAGTGCGTTTGGAGGCATGGTACCTCTCCTGAAATTCCGATACTTTATCTCCAATAGGACTCAGTGAATAAGACATTTGCACAAACTGCACACTCAACACCACTGATGAACACCTTCAAGCATTCTGGCTCTGTCCACCAATACAAAACGTCTGGAAAGAAAGAAAGAAAGCAATAACTACTAAAATATCCCAAATCCTTGACCACCCTCTGTTTACTTGCCGATATGGAAGAACTAAACAAACTCCAAATATATCAAAACACCTCTGCTTGTGGTCCTGATTATTGCCAAGATACTGCTCAACTGGAAAAACTTCTCTTTAGGCTCTCGGAGGAGGCGGACGCACTTTTTCTCCTCTCCTCTCCCTTATCTTCCCTGCTTATGTCCTTGTCTAGTCTCGTGTTTTTTGTATTACTTTCCCTGGAACACACTCTCACAGTCTGTTTCTAAAACCTAAAGAGAATTATGGATTTGATCAACTGGTCTCTGAATGCTATTGACACCCTTTTCTCAATGAGAAGTCTGGGCTCGGGAGAGCCCGAGTGCCCTGGAGGTACTTTCCCTGCCGGATACACGATGGACGGATTGAGAGACCAGTGTCGGAGTGTTAAAGAACAGCTTTGAAATTCTCATGAGTTGTTGCAAAAGAAAAATTACCATCATAATCCGGCAACCCCTTCGGCGCCAGCTGTGGGCTCAAGGCTGGAGCCGAACAAAAACTCCCTGATAACGACTGTGTTGAGTCTGTTCCTTCCCATTCCATGCAAGGCCACCTGGGTTGGCTGGAAGACTATTTACTTAGCCTGGCAGGGCGAAGGACACTGTCTCAGCTGAACTATGGACACGCAAACACATACATATACTGATACTGATAACCACTCACTGACGCATCACCCTCCCTGCCCCGGATCCAACACCACCTCCAACGCTTACCTCCCCTCTGATGTGGACATCGGGTCAGCTGGAGGCGCAGTCGAAGATTGCAGCGGTCCCAGATCAGATGTTCACACTGGAACACTTTCCCATGCTGCTTGTCTGTGTTTATTGTCCTATGGTGTGTTGATATCTGTGCATTCCTGTATTATCCTTTTGTGTTACACATTTTGTTTCTTTTGTTTTTTTCTTCGCTACCTAGCCTGACCTGTCTCCCTAATGTGATGTTTGTGTATTGTATGTACGGTCGGCAAGGTCTGTCATCTCGGTTGTGGGCAAAAGACCTGCAACTGACAAATAAAGGCTATCTCTCAAAAAGATCACCACATTACAATGGGTAGGCCTCCTCACACAAGTAGGCTAAACAGAGAGGCCCAGACCTCCCTCTAAGGGAGATCTCTAAGGGAGAGGCCAGCCACCCTTCGAATTAAGCTCATTTCCGCAATGTCGTTCTTTTGTTCACTACCAAAAGTGCCCAAAAGAACTCGTGACCCTGAGGGTACGGACAAAGATCGACCGATTAATTGAGAGCTTCACTTTTATAATTTTTTATTTATAAAGTTTTGCACATGTAATTTAACATATCAGGCCCAATACAGCAAGTGTCAACCGATATAAAGACATATATCAAAACAGGTTGGGCCATTGAGATTCGGATGATAACAATAAAACAGAAAAAAAAAAAATAATAATAATAATGAGCTTCACTCATTAGCTTCACACGAGCTTCACTTTTATGCTCAGCTCTCTCTTCATCATGACGGGCCGGTACCACTGCAGCCACACCACCAATCCGTCTGTCGATCTCTGTCTCCTTTCTCCCATCAACTCTTCCACTTGGGGCAGAAACTCGTCCCCGACCCGGAGTGGGCACTCCACTCTTTTCCGGCTGAGAACTATGGCCTCAGATTTGGAGATGCTAATCCTCATTCCTGCTGCTTCACACTCGGCTGCGAACTGTTCCAGTGTGAGCTGGAGGCCATCACCCGATGAAGCCAACAAAACCACATCATCCATGAAAAGCAGGAATGAGATTCTGAGGCCACCTAAGTGAAAGCCCTCCAGCACTTGGCTGCTCCTATAAATCCTGTCCATAAAAGTTATGAACAGAATCGGTGACAAAGGGCAGCCTTGGCGGAGCCCATCACCCACGAGGAACGAGTCCCCCTTATTGCTGGCTATGCGAATCAAGCTCTTGCAATGGTTGTATAGGGATCGAATGGGCAATGGGCCAGACACCCCATAGTCCTGCAGCACCTCCATAGGACACCCTGAAGGACATGGTCGAATGCCTTCTCCAAGTCCACAAAACACGTGTAGACTGGTTGTGCAAATTCTCATGCGCTGTCAAGTATCATTGAGAGGATAAAGAGCTGATCCAGTGTCCCGCGACCAGGACGAAAACCACATTGTTCATCCTGTATCCGAGGATCGACTAACAGACGGAGTCTCCTTTCCAGCACCCTGTCATAGACTTTCCCAGGGAGGCTGAGGAGTGTGATCCCCGTGTAGTTGGAACACACCTTCCGGTCCCCCTTCTTAAAAATGGGGACCACCACCCTAGTCTGCCAGTCCACGGGTACTGCCCCTGATCTCCATGCAATATTGCAGAGGCGTGTCAGCCAGGACAGCCCTACAACATTCAGAACCGTCAGGAACTCAGGGCGGACCTCATCCACGTCAGGGGCTCTGCCACCAAGGAGTTGTTTAACTGCCTCAGTGACCTCACCCCCGGAAATTTGCGGGTCATCCCCCTCAGCCCCAGACTCTGCTTCCTTCATGGAAGATGTGCCAGTGCAATTAAGGAGGTCCTTGAAGTATTCCTTCCACCGCCCAACAATTTTCTCAGTCGAAGTCAGCAGCGCTCCACCGGCACTATACACAGTACAGGTAGAGCACCGCGTTCCCCTCCTGCTAGAATCTCTTTGAGGCAATTCGAAGGTCTTTTTCCATGGCCTCTCCAAACTCCTCCCACACCCGAGTTTTTGCTTCAGCCACTGCCCGAGCAGCATTCTGCTTTGCCTGTTGGTACCTGTCAGCTGCCTCCGAAGTCCCACAGGCTAACCAAGCCCAATAGTACTCCTTCTTCAGCCTGGTGGCTCCCTTCAACTCTGGGTACTACCATTTGGTTTGGGGGTTACTACCACGATAGGCACCAACCATCTTGCAGCCACAGCTCAGTGCAGCAGCTTCTGCAATGGAGGTGCTGAACATGGTCCATTCGGACCCATTGTCCCCAGTCTCCCTTGGAATGCTATCGAAGCTCTGCCGAAGAAGATCTCACGGACTGGGGCTCTGCTAGGTGTTCTCAGCACACCCTCACTATATGTTTAGGCACGCCAGGTCTGTCCAGCGTCCTCCCCTGGTACCTGATCCAATTCACCACCAGGTGGTGATCAGCTGACAGCTCAGCCCCTCTCTTTACCCGAGTAAAGAACATGGCTGCAGGTTTGGTGCTACGACTACAAAATCGATCATTGACCTGCGGCCTAGAGCGTCCTGGTGCCACGTGCACTTTTGGACACTCTTATGTTCAAACATAGTGTTCGTTATGGCCAAACTTTGGTTTGCAAGAAGTCCAATAACAAAACACCACTCGGGTTCAGATCAGGGAGGCTGGTCCTCCCAATCACGCCCCTCCAGGTCACACTGTCGTTACCCATGTGAGCATTGAAGTCTGCCAGTAGGGCACCTTCCAGCATCCCACAGGGACTCTAAAAAGGCTGGATACTCTGAGCTGCCACTTGGCGCATAAGCGCAGATGACAGTCAGGACCCGTTCCCTGACCCAAAGGTGCAGGGAACAAAACCCTCTCACCCACTGGCAAGAACCCCAACGTACAGGCAGCAAGCCGAGGAGATATTAGAATACCCGCCCCAGCCCACTGCCTCTCACCAGGGGCAACTCCAGACTAAGACAGAGTTCAGCGCCTCTCCAGGAGATTGGTTCCAGAGCCCGAGCCATGCGTTGAGGTGAGCCCGACTATATCTAGCTAGTACCTCTCAGCCTCACGCACTAACTCAGGCTCCTTCCCCAGAGAGGTGACATTCCATGTCCCAATTGCCAGTCTTGGTTGCCGGGGATCAGTCAGCCAGGACCTCTGCTCCTGGCCGCCGCACAGCGCACAATGCACCTGACCTCTATGCCGCTTCCTGAGGGTGGTTGGCCTGCAGGAGGATGGGCCCATGTCCCCTTTTCGGGCTGTGCCCTGCCGGGCCGCTCACCCTCAGGCACCCTCCCCGGACCTGGCTCCAGGGCGGGGCCCCAGTAACCTTATCCTGGGCAGGGTAAACTGTTCCCTCGGTGATATTCTCATAAGGGTCTTCTGAATCACTCTTTGCCTGGTCCCTCACCCAGGACCAACTTGCCATGGGAGACCCTACCAGGGGGTAAAGGCCCCCAAGCAACATAGGCCCTGGCATCTCTGGGACACACAAACCCCTCCACCATGATAAGGTAGTGATTCGCGGAGGGGTATATTATATTATATTACATGAACAAGAATCGGAATTGAAGGAGATTTGCATTGATGGGGGGTTGAACATGAGTATCTAACAAAGAGGCTGGTGAGTGTAATCTCACCAGAATAAAACAACCTAAAACATTAACAGACTGTTTCTATTCACATCCACATTTTGCTCTTGTGTTCTTGCAGGGAACCAGTGGCCCACATGAAATCTATGAACAGGTATTCAATCATCTGACCTACCAGCCAATCAAAACACTGTACACTGTACTGCTGGTCAGATAATTACCATTTTCTCTTCTCTTCTGCAGCCCTGCTATGACATTATCCTTGAACTTTTGAACCTTTTCTTTAACATCCTGTTTGGCTTCTTCTTTGGATTTGCTGTTATAGCAGTAAGCTCTATCATTTTTTTATTTTATTGCCATGGTTACCTCTGTGTGTCACTGACTCTGTTGTTCTTTAAGATTTTGTCAAAATCACCTTTGACTCCTTTAACCTGTACATTCAATAACTGTTCAACAGTGAAAAATAATTTTAACATAGTACTTGACTCTGGTCAATGGACTGCTAATCAAACAAAATATGGAATTTGAAGATGTTATTCTGATCTATGCGTTACAGTCTTTATTGTCCACTTTTTTGGCCACTTTGTTGCAAACTTGATAAGCCAAAATGTTTACATTTCAAATGTTTTTTCTTTTTAATTTAATCTATAATATTCATTTATCTTATGTAGCTTATTAGCCTCCTGATTTCAACTTTAACTAGCATGAAACTGGAAACTCTTCAGCTTTAGACTAAAAGCCAGTCATTACAGTGTTGGAGCAGTACATACAAACAATACATTTTGATCATTCTTCTTCTTTGTCTTTATAGCTGCTGGGCCTGCTCATTACCATCTGCATGATTAATCAGGTCAAAAGTGACGACAGTAGAGGATCCATGTACTTGAGGAAATATTAAAGGGAGCCACCACACCACATGTCCTCTGGCCTTTGGGTTATAGTGCATCAACAGGAGTCGTGATCAGGATGTCACCTCGTTTTTATTTCACTGTGTTTTACTCACAAAAAAAAAGAGAGAGTGAGAAAAGAAAAAAATAGTAATATGTGCTTTGTAAGTAATGTCTTTCTTTTCCTTCCAGTTTTTTAACATACCAAGCATAGCTTTAAAAGCAAAAATTTATTTTCTGAAAAGCTTTGTAACTTTTTTGTTATTTGATGATTTTCAGTGTTTAGTCATCTTAAATAGAGACCAATTATAGTAAAGAAATTAGATCTCAAAATCGGACTCTCTGTCTCTCGATTTCTTATAAGTACCAGTGAAAAGTTTGGACACATCTTCTCATTTAATGGCTTTTCTTTTTTTTCATAACTATTTACATTGTAGATTCTCACTGAAGGCATCTGAACTATGAATGAACACATATGGAATTATGTAGTAAACAAAAAGGTGTAAAATAACTCAAAACATGTTTTATATTTTAGATTCTTCAAAGTAGCCACCCTTTGCTGTGATTACTGCTTTGCATTCTCTCAATGAGCTTCATGAGGTCGTCACCCGAAATGGTTTTCCAACAGTTTTGAAGGATTTCCCAGAGATGATGAGCACTTGTTGGCCCTTTTGCCTTCAGTCTGTGGTCCATCTCATCCCAAGCCATCTTGACTGGGTATAGGTCAGGTGACTGAAGGCCAGGCAATCTGGCACAGCACTTCATCACTGTCCTTCTTGGTAGTTAGTTTAACATTCTCTATTCCCAGCACCTCATCCTTCAAGAAAAAGGTCGCTAAAATATGTCCATTCCACGGTAGTCATTGTCCTGTTAAAAAATAAATGATGGTCCAACTAAACACAAACCAGATGGGGTGGCATGACGCTGCAGGATGCTGTGGTAGCCTTGCTGGTTCAGCGTGCCTTCAGTTTTGAATAAATCCCCAACAGTGTCACCAGCACAGCACCCCCACACTGTCACACCTTCTCCTCCACTACACAACTGATTGTCCAAACACCATTAAGGAAGCCAGAAAATCCCCAAATGAACCCTGACAAGGCACACCTGTCAAAACCATTTCAGGTGAATACATCATTAAGCTCACTGAGAGAAGGCCAAGGGTTTGCAGCACTGTCAACAAAGCAAAGGCTGGCTACTGAGGAATCTAAAAATAATACATAGTTAGAGTTATTTATAATTTTTTTTCTTTGCTACATAATTCCATATATTTTGCTTCATATATTCCCATATGGAAAATAAATAGTAAAAACTTATATGATTTACTCATGAAAGTGGCCACTTTCACATTACTTTCATATATTGTTTTAGTAAGTATCCAAAACATACAAGTTTCATTATATAATTCTTCAAGGGATCTTATATCTGTTTTCACTCTTGTATGCTTTTCGTACAAGTTTCACACAAGACAGATACAAACTTTATAAGATTTATATATATCTTTTCCATATGGGTTTGATGTCTTCAGTTTGTATCTACAATGTAGAAATTAGTAAAGATGAAAAAAAAAAACATTAAATGAGAAGGCGTGTCCCAACTTCTGACTTTGTGTGTGTTTGTGCATGTATGTATGCAGAGAGACAGATATCTCTTTTAAAGCATGTTGTGAAATCTGTACTCATTCCAAATTAAACTG